TCGATACGAATGCGATAATTATTCGTGCTTCGCCCTCTGGAGCCGTCAACCGTAGCATGTAAAAACACTATTATGGCTGAATACGGAAATACTACTCAATTTTCATTTTCATTAAATAACAGAAGCCTTAGTACGAATTTGTTTCACGTTTAAAGTAATCGAAACGAGTACGTGTTCGGCGCTCTGATTGGCCGGCTCCAATGAAGCAACCAATCGGAGCGCCGAAGGCAGTCTCGTTTCGGTTACTTTTAACGTAAAAAAACTCGTACTAATGCCTCTGAACTATACTTGAGAGTGTTTGAGAGCACCGCAAAATTGATTACCGTTTGAGTATTTCAACATTTAGAGCCGATTTTTCCAACGCCAGATAAATTAACTAAAAATCTCGGGTTACTCACGTGAATATACTAAGAAAAGCTCTACTGTTTCGAATCACAGAGGGAGTTCCTTATAAGCGTGTGCGGTCGCGACAATGTCTTTTTTTTTCTTTTTGGCAACGGAGTCTCCAATACAGTGTTGTCGACTATACTGCCAGTGTCGAGTGGTGACGGCAGATTATTGGGCCGTCGAACTGAACTTTGTGGTAGTTTTAGTTGTTAATAAAATTATATTTTTAATATTATTCGCGACAATGTCGCGCAGCCTACTCCAGATAAATATTAACTGAGGATTATGTACTGAGGAATAACTTTGAATATTGGACAATATACTAAAAACTGTCAAATGTCAATTTTACTCTACAGTTAAGATTAACTGTTGATTGAAAAATCGTCCCTAAATCTTAATTATGTTTTGTAAGACAATTTATTCGACAAAAATATTAATGGACTTACCAAATACATTTGAAATTGTAAATTACTAGGCATTCTAATTAGTTTGTTTTCAGCTCACCCAGATAATAAAAAATTGAGACATTAGCTTCCTATTACTTACAATCTATAAATACCTTAAGTATCTAATAAATAGCAGGCACTACAATAAAGACTATTTGCTATAGAATATTATTCAAGTGGGCAGTAAAGGGTTTCTATTAGAAGAATGACGGTTTTTTTGCCCGCTAGACGGCGCTAATGTATCATGAGGTCTGTTTTCTAATAACTGTATCTAACATCTAACAAATTGAGTATCCAAAGTTTTGACACAAGCTTAATATCTATTGGATAAACATGCCCAAACTACAACTACTAAACATACATGAGCACCATCTGGTGAGAAAAAATAACGGTAGCTGTCATTTATTCAGAATGTAACCGGAACGCTCCCCAAGAATGCTGACAGGTGTTGGTAAAAAACGAGTCTTATTTCATGAAAGTAAGGTATTCAATGTTTTTTTATGTAATAATAGTTGTAATCAACTGCACAAGGCTGATGCCGCATGAATAACATGAAAACAATAACGATTAAAATTGTAAAAACAATTTCTTTCTGTCAGCGTTTCAGGAGTTCCTGTTTACACTCTATATACTAGCCTATTGTCACAGTCGTGAGGATATAAATAAAAATCAGTACCTAGTATCAAAGCTGCTTGTAGAATTACTAAAAAAAATTAATAATATCATTGTTAATTATGTAAAGCGTCTGATATATTTATCACATATAAGTTTTTTTATTCTTTATCTTGGGAAAAGTGTTAACATTCACAAATTTTATGTTACAATTTAGATATTTATTTTTAAATTAGACTTCTTATTAGTTGCGTATTATAATTTGCTACACATGTAAAGCATATAGTTTTAATATGATAATTTTAAAGAGTAAATCATTGTTTTCTACTTCAACATTTAGCATGAATTTAGTTTTTTCTTTTTGGTTTTTTTGGTTTTACTTTATACAATAATTATATTGTATACTTAATAATAATAATATTGAACACTACCTTATGTTAGAATATAGTACCTTTGTACTTGTATAATATTGACTGTGTAATATTTTTGTTCGTGATTTTTATTTATAAAATTTTGTGATAATTTATTGGTGCAAATAGTCGATTGAAAATACTTGAATAACATTATTTTTCAACTATGATAATATTAATGTAGGTACTACCTAAATATCAACCAAAAATAATACCTACCTACTTGGAGAAAGACACAAAAGTAATGTGTGTCAATTAATGTTCAATGTAACTACTAAAACCTGAGCATAAGTTAGGAACTTTGGTATGTAACAAAACAGATAGGTATAAATAATAAAAATATAAAAAGTATAAGGAAGTATGTACCTTAAAACAAAAATAATAATAGCCTTATTTCTTATGGCAGTCTTGGTTGACTTAAATTATATAAACAATATACAATCACATTTTTTATATAATTCAACAACTGTCATTTAAAACCATATACATAAAATTAATATAAAACTTTAAATCAAAAGGTATCACGAGATATTTTTAACTACTTTTATAACAAACAGATACATTGGTAATTATAATCAATTCATATACCTAGTTTAATTGTATAAAATATGTCAAATCAAGTACAAATAAAGTCATGGTATGATTTGAACTTATAATACTTCACATATCAAAATTAATACTTCAAAAATGATACATAGTTAAGTAAATCAATTATTTAATTAATGTATGAATTGAAATGAGCCTTTAGAGGACTAAAATATAATTACTATATTTTACATTTTATACAAAATTCTTGGCAATAATTGAACACCATTAGACAGCATATTTGAAATCAGACGGAACAAATTTGAATGAAATAGGCCTGTTACTTCGCCATGTCTAGCACAAACGAATACTTATCTAAAGTCCTTTCAAAACCTCAATTGCTTATCTACAAATCCCATCGTCACATCTCCAACTACTCACATACACATAAATAATTAAAGAGTATACATATATTTCATTTTCTATAACCAATTTTGATGACACTGAAATATAAAAACAGCTAAAATTATAAATGAATCAGTCGAACTGGTAGCCCTTCATTGAACATGAAGAGTTTTTGAACTGCTGGAAGTTTTAAGGCTAGATCAGTTATGGAACTCACCATGAACATGATATTGGACTTGAGCTTTTTCTTATGTAGCTTCCATATAGTCCAGATGTTTGTTATAACGCGGGTACCAAGCTAAAGCACATAAACTACATCGGGTACCACAATAGTACAGTTTTCATTCAAGTGCGGTGATTGGCAACTTTTGTACTTATGTTCAAGTTTATCAACATCCATTTTAACACCTCTTTTCTTCGCCATTTCTATTACGTAGCTCTTCAACTTCAGGTCACTGGAATTGATAGATATATTTGATTAGAAACTTAATGTTAAAGACGATTTTAAATCACAATAGATTCAGTGTGTATGGATATGGATGTGAGTTCTAGATAGACTTCTAATTATAGTATTATATAAAAATTAATTTAGACCATTTTTCTTTTATCCATAGTTTTGTTAGTATAATTGTGGGTTAGTAAGAATATTCCTTAAATTATATTAGTATTGTTAGATTTTGTATTCTGGGTGTTTGGTATAACTGTTGCCACCCAGTATAGTTGCCACTCTGTAAGGGACAGTCCAGTCTGGCAATCTTGTTTACATACACAAATCAATTTATTCTATGATCTGTGTATGTAAACCTGTTACATTATTAAAAATATGTAAACCTGTTACAATATTAAATATGTACAATATGTTACAATATTAAATGTAATACACATTAAATTTTGTTTCTGTATTGTAAAGATTGTTTAAAACAAGTTTTAAAAGAAGAATTCAATTGAAATTTATAACAGGATAATCTCAATTGACTTTATGCATATCACAACAAGATGTTTCCAACAAGTGAATGTGGGAAGTCTCAATTAAGGGGACAATACATGACCATTGTATGACTAACTGCGGACTTCAAAATGGCAACATTCAAAGCCATTTAAAATAAACTTGCAGTTATATCTAACACTATACTGTCAACATTTTTCAGATACTAAGTACTCCTGTTTGGTATAGCCATTATTCACTTCTTATTGATTATAACTCAATGTTTATGGCCAAAGCTTTCTTCGACAAAGGAAAATCTACCACCTAAATAATTATTCACTTCAAACCTGTTGTTCTACAGATTAATGTGTTCAACTAAATCTGTAAAATTATATTAGTCTTAGTACAGATTTTTGGAAATATTTACAAACCTGAACTTCATACAAATGCAGCATAAACAGCTTAGCAAAGCCATAGTCAGTAGAACGCCTACTGTAGTGATCACCATATCCATCAGGCTACCGTCCAACATATTTGTACTCAAACAGGTTATGATCACCAACTGAAAAATATTAAAAAGCGCACTTTAATTCTTAGAATAAATATCCAGTATTTTTGGAACATTTTAACGTATATCGTCTTTGGAATGTTAGAGCTAATTTTTTTAAGTAAAACCATATCAAATTATAAAGAAATACTGAAGTAAACTAAAAATATCAACTCTATGGTAAATAAAATATATTCACAGTAAATTACTATTATTTTAACGTTAAATTAAAAATGATTATAATACCCACTGTATTAATACCGCTTCACACCTATACGCACTCACAATAATTCAGAATTAATTGATAAATTAGTAAAACTACGCCACAATAATACGCTGGCTGGTTGAATGAAACACCAAAATTGAGGCGAAGTAAAACGAAAACATTCGATAATGACATTGACAAATTTGACAATTCCAAAGTAAAATGACAATGTCAAATACTTGCGTTCCGTCTTCAACTTCTACTCTACCAAGAGGAAGAGGATTCGATTTGATGTTGTGCTCGCCAATAGAATCCATTTTTTTCGTTCAGAAAGAAAATAGTTTATAAAATGTCTTTAAATGTTAATGTTGTTCTGATATATATATAAATAGAAACAAGAAAAACTACTTTTTTAGTCTGCTAGTAATATGGACTATCATAATTCCAGTTAGATTTTTTTAATAACCAAGATCCAATTTACTTTTCAAATCTAACTTTATTGTACATTATCATAAAATAACATTTATATTTATTACAACTATACAACAAAAACTCCTGCATCTTCTACAACAACATTACAACTTTGCGAAGCAGGTGGGCAAGGTGGTCGTTTTACTGGCTTCTTCGTTTTGTAATCTGTATTCAGTTTTTTGGCTAAAGCCTTTACATTAGATTTCAATGATCGGTCCCTGAAAAATAGACATTGGTTTCTTGTAATAATATCTATTTATTATTTAAGTGTAGTAGTAGTGGGTATAAAAATAGATCATTCATACTTACGTGTAATTTATACGGCAACAATAAATACACGCTGATATGACACAAATTGCTGCACACACAATAAATAAGAAAACTGATATCATAATACCTTGAAATATTTTTTGACTTTCAATGTAGAGAAGTTCTGAAAATAAAAAAATAAGTTAAATGTATTATAATTTCATCTTTCATTGCGTTCCAGAGCATTAACTAAATAAACAAATTAATGTTTTAATATAAATTACCAAAGAATATCAAAAAATTATATTAATTTACTTTAGTTATGTTAGTACCTATGATAGTCATATTATAAAAAAGGGCGAAAAGCGATCGAAGGATATAAATATCAAAATTCAAAACCATGGCCATCTTTCCCAAATCTGATGGCTTCGGTAAATAAGAGAAGCAATATTGTATAATTAATTAATTGAAATATAATGCAACTTACTTGCCATTTCATCATCAGGTAAATTATTACCATCTGTAAATTTTAAACATTTAATTTATTGTCTGCAAAGATATTGACATAAGCAAGAATCGGTATTGACGATGACAGAGCCTAAGTATTTTAACTCGATTGGTCGGAATGGGGTGAACTACAACTACCCTCTTACAGAGTATCAGCATGAACGGTTAGGTACATAATATTACCGCGATTCGACTGATGGTAAGTAAGAGTTCCGGATGTCGAACTCACTCACTATTCGATTGAGCTACAGAAATATCTTCTATAATATATCTGTGGATTGAGCTATAATTGACGGGAAAATGAGAGCGCAATAATCTCCTACATAGTCCGCAACGTGTTTGTGATATCTTTTTTGTGTTGCTTTTCAAGTGTATTTGGATTATGTCGCCTACCATCAGACAAGTAGTAGGCTAAGATGTTACATGATGTCAATGAGATATTGAAACTAATCATGGAAGTTGGAATAAATAAAAATATTTCATTTAATTTTTACAAACTTACCAAGATTTTCATAATTAGTAACGACTTTTTTAAATACTCTTGTAAAATTGATTAGACATCTGCTGGTAGCCGAGTCGTAGAAGTACATTCTAAAATAAAAATATATTTTAGAATTTTAATGAAAGGTTACAGGTGCATAGTGAAATGATGGACAAAATTTTATTTAAATATTTTATACGTGTTTAAAGTACGTACTCTTCACAGCCACATTTTTCATGACAAGTCGTAGGACTCGGTGTTACATAAATGTCCTGTATCTGTAAAAAAAAAAAACAAAAGTCAAGACTATCCGTAATAAGCCTAATTACTACGTTTAAAGCCTTCATATTTTAATAATGAAAAACGTATTTATACTTACTCCATCCTCTGGAGGACCGTCATCTGCATCTAAAAGTCATAAAAAGCAGTATGAGTAAGACATAATTTAACCACAAAGTATCGAATTAAACTACCTAGAAATAAATTGGACTGGATCATGGCACAATAACACTTCATCTCGGTTTATTGCCCTATGTGCCAATCCGGATTATTACGAAACGAATTGCCAACGTTGTCCCTTAAATTAATCACATAAACATAATTGAATATTACTTACAAACCATTGGACATAAAGTAAGAAGCACCACCAACAACATATTAATAACCATTTTCTTTGTCATAATAGTCCGTATATTCATCACAATTTATCACTATCAACAAGTTTTAGTGAGAACGAAGCACACACACAAAATTCCTTTGGCAAAGATTTGTGAACAGTTAGTACACAGTTCAGTCGAATTTGTTTTATTTATTGGTATAGCGATATCATATTTAGCGAAATTACAATATACTTGCACCTTTCAGCCGACCAATCGGCTTGGCAGCGTGGGTACCGAAATAGATGCATGACCTCGCAGGCGTTCGACTAATGGAGTTACCTATTTATTCGGTCTCAACTATGTAATCTTTAAAAGTTATCTGTTATTCTATCTATTGCACAGACATTTATTTATGATTTTTCTTCTACAAATATATAATTTGAAACGAGTCTCCGATACCTGTCTCATAGGTACCTACGGTAAATTCGACGAGCCTTGAATAGTAAACAAAAACTTTTTCACAATTAAATTAAGTACCTATTATGTATATTACGTATGGAACAACCTATGAACAAAATTAAATATTAAGCTGATCCTACTCCTTTCTCTGGGCATCTGTGTTGTGTACGATTTCAATCTGTCGTCTATATCTATACTTATGGAATAATAGAATAAACTAAAAATAAACTAGCATCAACTTCCAAGAACCAAGAAGAAGAAAAACATACTTAAAAAGTAAAAATAAATAATTAAGATCATAATTTGTGTCTTTTGAGAAAAATTTTCAACCATATCTCGTACGTCAAATATTTTATTCCATCTCCTCTCCTTCAAAAGGGTAAGCAGAGGTAAATTTTGTAAAAGTTAGAAATATTATGTACCTAAAGGTAACAGTAAATCAGTAAATTAAGATATTTTGAAGAATTTTTATTTATCGTATGAAATTAAAAAACACGTAGATTTGGTAACTATTAATAATATTAATCTTTAAAAATACAATAAATGTAACAAAATCATTTTTTAGCTTTCTGCACCCAGTCACACACCTTCTCACTTGCTGATATTGGTACTGAATTTTATTTTGTTACTTCTGCTGCGCGTAAAGAAACGTTAACATTCGTTCAGAAATCTTATATGTGTAGGTATTATTTAATTTTATGAATAAATCCTCCTGAAGATCTCAAACAATGATATTATTATCTTAATTTGAATTTAATAACAAACAAATAAGATAATTAAGATAATTACCTACCTTAGTAAATGACACTGTTCTAATTGGAAATTAAATTACACAAACAAACCAGACCATTTTAGTTGCACATTGCATACTGTAAACGTATAGAAACAAATTATTGCTATCTTTGTTTCGCTTGATGGAAACATGCTTTCAATTTACGTTGAAGTAAGATAGAAATAGTCCTGACATGTTCGGTTATTCGAGTCCAGTGACTGCAACGTACCATCATCACCGTAACGCCGTGTTCAACTTCACTCACTTCAACAAATCAAAAAACCAGTTTATTTACCGACTACATTCACGACGCGCGCGCGTTGTAGGTCTCGTGTCTAAAATTTTTAGTTCGTGTTTTCTCATGTAGATTTCAATAAAAAAAAATTGTCTGTGCACTTTTAAGTTATAATTTTTCTTGTGTCATTTATACTTTCAACTAAAATTGCTCGAAATTTTTGTGTGATTTTCGAAAGTTCTCAATAAAGTACCAATTGAGAGTGATAAAAAGGTGTGTCGTGGTTCGAATTTTGAATCGTGAATAAACTTTTGTGCATTCGCGTGAAAAATACAGGTGTTTTGTTTCGATGAGTTCGTGTGTACAAAAGAGATGTTGATACGGAAAAGTTTACATTCGAAATCGATTGTCAGTTGCATAGTTGAGTGATCTTCGTGTGATTTGTTCAACAAGACGAGTTCGCAAGGTAAACGTGAGTAAAAGTTACGCTAAAATAACTGTTCCTAGCCTTAGATACTGGCTCCTCACTGTATGGTTCAATTAGCACGATGAAAAGTTCCCACCGGGCGATTCCAGTCGGATTTTAATTGGAAATCATTGTTGCATTCCAATAGGAATGTTAATAATAATGTAGTGGGTCGAAATGTTTTGATTTCGCATTCCTTTGTGCCGTAATGTTACTATCGAACAACAACCGGTTTGTGTACCATAATTGGGTACAACAATAATCAGGGCCGCGCCGACCCCCGGCAGCGCCTGTGTGCGGAATCGATGGAGCGCCTCTTTTTTACCGACTTTAAAAAAGCAGGAGGTGCTATGTTCGGCTGATTGATTTTTTTTGTTTGTTCGCACATTACTCCACCATTTGTACATCGATTTCCAAAAATCTTATTTTGTTTAAAAGGGTATACTCTCGAAATGGTCCCATTTCCATGAGCTCAGAATCTGATGATGGGATCCTAGGGAAACCGAGAGGAACCGAGGAGAACTTTCGAAAATTTTAGGGGCGAGTAATGAGTTTATTATGTTTTTCAATTACGATTTTTAAACACTACAATTTGATAACGGTCTGGAGTCGACCTGATGATGGAGCCGACAGACAATCGAGAGAACTCCTCAGCTGTTTTTATTAACTACCCTATGCTTGGGCTTGATTAATTTAGTACAAACACAAGGTAGTTAATATAAACCGCTGAGGAGTTCCCTCGACTGTCTGTCGGCTCCATCATCAGGTCAAATCTAGACCCTTATCAAATTGTAGTGTTTAAAAATCGTAATTGAAAAACAAAATAGACGCAGTACCGTACTCGCCCATAGAATTTTCAAAAGTTCCCCTTGGTTTCCCTTGGGTCCCATCATCAGATCCTGACCTCATGGAAATGGGACCATCTCGGGAGTATACCCTTTCAAACAAAACAAGAATTTTCGAAATCGGTTCACATATGGCGGAGTACTGAAAAAAAAAACAATCAGCCGAACATACGTACCTCCTCCTTTTTTTAAAGTCAGTAAAAAGTTCAGTGCGCACCTTACACACACTTTCAATCAAATGATTGTTCAATTGTTTTGTTTTAGCTTGACTCTCTCGTTCGTTAAAATCGGGGAATCCCTGTGACCCTACTCCTATAGCCTCGCACGCATCGCATCGGGTTGCGTTCACAAACTCACTCATACTTACTCATACAAAGTCGGCGCCTTTATGATTCAATATAACTAGTAGGTACCTACTTTATCTGTGGTTCAAAAGATCTGCCGCCGTTTTAACGTTGATCTTGTAACTCGTAAGTAATGTAAACTAAAACCCTAAGTGTAAAATGAAACCATAAACGTGATTAATAATAAACATAAATATTGAGAGACTTGTTTAATAAGCGTAATATAAGTTTTGTTGTATACAAGGCCTATGTTGCGCCTATTGTACCTACTTACTTATCGATACTCTACTACCAAAAATATAATAATTAAGGTAACAAAAATAATTCAAGTAGAGGTGGTGGCGCGACACGGCGCCCCTATTGTCTTGGCGCCTGTGTGCGCCGCACACTTCGCACACAGGGGCGGCGCGGCCCTGACAATAATGTTTGTGCAAGCATTCGAATTTCGTTTTCGCTAAAATTCATAATGTGCAGTTTATTTGGACAACTGAACAACAAAAGTTTATTCAAGGAAAATTTATTTACAGGAACTGCTTGGAATATTACTAAATTAAATTAAATGGTTTTATCTATTTAATTTTAATTGTAGTAATACATTTTAGCAATAAAACTAGGTACTAATGAATGTCTTTAATGACTAAAACATTTTCCTTAGGGGAAATAAGGGTCAGTTAGTACTGACCCTTATTTTGTCACACAAGTTCAAAGCTTGTAAAAATGTTTAGAATCTAAAATTATTTATAAAACACCAATTTACAACAAAAACAAAAGTTTTGAGTAATACTTAAACATGACATCACTTATGGAAACTGACAATATACAACTTTAAATCTTAAAACTTTAATTTCAATTGAAAAAATCTCAGAATGCCATAATAATATCTTGAAGTTTAACATATTTGGTAAGCTAATATGGACCTAATTTACAAATTATAAAGACAATAAAAAATTTATTATTCCACAGATGTGTTCATCAAGACACCTCAGCAATCGAACAAGCTCTCGTCAGCCCTGATGTTGTCCGGAATATTCCATGAAGTCGGCTGACATGCAGCCATGGCCAGTGGCAAGGCTCTGTATTCTATAGCGGTGGTCGCATTGGGCTTCATTTGCTTCGTAGTAGGTGCCATCGCTGTTGGCTTACCTACTTGGGGAAATTTTCATAGCTGTACGTATGACTTAATTAATGAATTTAATGTATAACATGATAAGGATTTTGTATGGAATTTTGGATTTTTCATATTTCTTTAATTACTTGGGGGTTTTAGTAAAAATAGTTTGTTATTGTCTCAGAAATGTTTTTATTTTTTTTTCAATATAAATAAAGGTACAACAAATACTTGCTATGTCATGCTTGGGTTATAGTGTAATGTTATGATATAATTAAAATTGTTGGTACAACGAGCGTCTCTCGCCATCAAACGTCAAAGTTTGGCGAGTTTAGATATAAGGCCATACCTATGTAAAATTGAAAGGAATAAATTTGTTTAAAATAACAAAAAGACCTCAAATCCGTTACTCTTCGTACAGGTAGGCAGAGGTAGTTACAGATATTTGACGTAACACCAACTCATTGCCAGTTATTTTATAAATATTGTATGTAATATGAACTACTGCGGGACTCACACTAGAGTCCCTTTGCTCGTCAACCAATGGGACAGTTATGCAATGTAACATATTATTATATTTTAATGATATTGTTAATATCCGCACTGGTATCAATTAATCATACTTCCCACATTAAACCTTGTATCAAATGACCTACCCACTGTTTAGATGAGTCACTGATTAATTATTATGTAAAGTTAATAATAGTCACCTACTTAAATAACATTATATCGTTAGAGACTGCAAAATAGGACATTAGCTTAATTGCAGTAAAAACTGGTAAGAAAGTTGCGCATGAATGATTTGATAAAAAATTGACTGCATGGTTGGTGCATTGATTGGTGAATAGTTTGCTCTGCAATATACTGCTGATTTGATTCCTTCAAGGAAATTTTCTTTTGTGATCCATGAGCGACAATTGTTGCTCTGGTTTAGAGTGTGACATGTACTTAGGGGGCGTCTATAAATTACGTGAGAGGTTTATGTGGGGGAGGGGGTAGACACAAATCTCATCTAATCTTATGTTGGAAGAGAGGGGGGTCTCGGCAAATACTTATATTTTTCTGATAGAAACAAAAAAAAATTATACTATTTTCACTGACTTCATAGTTCATTTATTCCAGATTGTGCATGCTTAAGATTTAATTGTACATGCACATGGATTTTTTTGTTTTTGCAATAAAAATCCAACGTGTTTACGTGAAAAACCAACATATTGAAAAATCTCACGTGAGATTGGGGTATGAGGGAGGGTGTTGAATAAAATCTCACCAAAGGGGAATGAAGGTCGCGGTGAACCTAACGGGTAACCGGGGCTTCGGCTCGACGTGCAGGAGAAGGAATGGGGTAGTTTTTAGTTAGTAAGAGTCTGACACTCCCTTCCGCCTCACCCAGGCGGGAGCAGTCATTCGATGATTTTCCCCCCTTAAAAAAAAAGGGGGGAAGGAAGGGACAGACAATTAAAAAAACACCTCACGTAATTTATGGACGCCCTCTTACCTATGTAAATGGAATTTGTGCTTGTAAATGCATCAACAACCCAGAAGAATCTCTGGTTCACATTCCTTAAACGAAGAAAAAGTGCCAATTAATATCAGATTAACAGTTTAATTAGGTAGTCGTTGCAAGCTTACATATTACTGAACTGGAATGTCAAGTAACAAAACTGTTTGATTATATTACCTGTAACTATAGAAAACAATGCACAAAAAACAATAGTAGTAATTAATGTATCATACAAGCTTTGTTGTTTTGTAGGTTAATGTATCACTCCCATGGTTAGGTATTTTGGTTGCAAGTCCAAATAATACAGTTAATAAAATGCCACAGACTAAATGTCTGACTAATTGACCTATTTTGTAGGGAAGTATGACTCCAAAAATTACTGAGAAATGTTACCAATTATTCAAATCTGTACTCAAGTCTTTTTAATAGTTAAGTATTATAGAAAGAAAAGTTTGGAATGCCTGTATGGATCTAAATGAAATTTTGCTCAGGGGTAGAGGTAGATTCTAATGAGGTTTTAATACATAAGTCACTTTTAAAGTGTACATACACTCGTTGGCCGAGTGGTCGCAAGTGCGACTGCCGGGCAAGGGGTCTTGGGTTCGATTCCCGGGTCGGACAAAGTACTACTGGGTTTTAAAAAATTCTCAGTAGTAGCACGGAGTCTGGAACTGTGCCCGGTATATGGCAATAGGCTTACCCCCTATTACATGGGACTCATAACATAAATAGTGAAAAGTGGGTGTTATTTGCCCACGCCCTATTTATTTGCCATTGTACGTTGGCATAATGTGCACCTCTGCCTACCCCTTCGGGGATAAAAGGCGTGTTGTTATGTTATAATTATAATACAGTACATATGTACATAATTATGTTACATTTGGCTGTACAATACATAAACTTTTAGGATAACAATATTAATTAGGATGTACCTACCAGAACAAATAACAGATAATCACTTGGTTTTCAGGCATTTTATCCTCTACTATACCATAATAACTTAGATATTTTCCTTGTCAAATACAGGGAAAAAATAGATTATTTACCATTATAGGTACTTAGTCTCTGAGTTTCCTCTGCTTGCGATTCCAATACTAGGTACTTACTCAGTAAGCAAAATATTTAACATGAACAACACATGATAACAATTAAATTGCATATTAATTGTTCCTTTATACAATTCCTAGTTTTTTAAATGTTGAGGAAGGAAGAATGCACCTTATTCTATCAGCACTGTGACTATAATTAAATAACAATGATTTTTTAATTAATGTCTTTGTAATAAGTAGATATAAAAAAAACTATATAGGAATGCCAAAAAGTTTAAAATTAATTATGTTTTCCGTAACTGCCTGACGACGTATCTCGACTAGTTTCAAGCCGCGCTGGGGCTCATATTCATGAACAGTATTCCGCGATAACGACGCAGCGAGCGTCACGCAACTAGGTGTAGTTGGAGTTGGTGTGTAAGTACCCCTATCTTGGCTTGAAACTAAACGAGTAATAAGTTTTTAAATACAAATGACTACATTTGTCTATTCTACTCATTTTTTTTGGCAGGCCTATTTACAATAATGACACTGTTAGTAAATGCTTTGCACTTAGATTTGTATAAACTAATTCTTTCAGATGACTCTGACTTTCAACTCTCAGTTCCTGGGTACTATTGTAAGTATTGAAAATAGTTTCTTGGTGGTGGGTTGGGTTAACGCTAATAAACACCTTATAACTATATACATACAATACATATTTGCTTGTTAACTTGTGGTGGAGGTTTTCCTAGCTTTACGAACTGGTGATTCATAGTTAGTAGATAAGGAAATTCAGTTTCATTTTGGTAAGGAAATCGTCGACCCGTCATCGTCTCTGATCTAATAGTTGGACACACCTTTAAAATTATATCTACTTTCACTTTAAAACTGTCTTTTTACAGGTCTATTTTACAGTTTAAGATTTTCGTTTTGGCCAAGACATGCCTAGAACTCTGATGTAACTGAATTGGTTATAGGCGTTACGTGCAGCAAATTAGGAACCTATTCACTGGCCTTATAAAGAAATCCGTACTCGCGGGGACAAGGCTTTTTTGAGGGGGAAAACATCCGATAACTTCTCCCGCCCGGGTGAGTCGCGAAGGAGTGTTAGTCGACAATGTTGAAAGGTAATTTGTATTTCGTTTTATTTAAATGTTAAACAAAAGAATATTTTCGAAATTAGAAAAAGTTACTAGTTCCATAAACAAATTCGAATGACAAATTCAAAAAGCATTCGATTCTAAGGCGTATTCGTATCTTACTCCAAAAAAAGAATTGTACCAAACTTTGTCGTTACTTTTTTGGGTATACAACCTTCGTGGTATTGGTATGTAAACAATACAACTAAGTGTGCGTTATACTTGGGTGTGTATCTTTTATCTTGGGGCTCACAACGGAAGTCGCAGGCCCAAGCTCAAGCGCACTGGAAGTAGGCCAAACCGCGCTCCTACGTCTACTGTTACCTTTGATACCTTCGCCTTTCTAACGTACCTCAGCTATTTATAAGATAACATCAATGATTGCCCGTCAAATCTCAGAAACTCACCTCTTTTTCACGGAAAAATAATAGCCGTAGATTTCATTTTCTCAGAACCATTTATAAATCCATCTCATGTACCGTTCAGCCATTATACTAACTGAGATTTTTAAAAGCAATTGAAATTGATCAAACTGCAGTTTCGCAATAGCTTTTCACTTTTACTTCCTTTTTAATAGTATTAAGATACTAAATACAAGTAAGCGACAAGCGTTAGAATGTTCTTATCTGCACTAGTAACTAACTGTACACAGAATAAAGTTACAATTTAAACTGCACGGTAAACAGCACTATGGTAATAATTACCTCGTAGGCTGTTCTCGATGTTTACTTGGGTCGGTATATTCAGTGCATTAAAAAATGTGGCACGCCCGCCAAACGGGTTATTGACCCACGAGACCTTTGTGACAAAACTTGTGGGAGATGTGCCAGGCTGCCAACGGTCGCGGTTATGGAGTCGTGTTTTTTTTTTTAATTTATACAGACTACAGACATCGTGCATTCAACCTCTTTCTAGAATATGTAAATTAAAATATCTTGAATGCTAAATCACTTTGTATTCGATACGTACGATATAAAGGCGGATTTAATTTTGAAGTTCGATCAACATTCACGTCACGAGATTTGAGACTCTTTCCATTTCGTAATTTTGAGTGTATTTGGATTGTAAAATTATTATAGTTGCAATGTTTATCATCAACGAAATTATAACTGCAAAGCAAAGGTTCTAATGGCACCTAAAGGCTTAAAGGTTCTTGAAATAAGTATTCTAAATTGATTGGGTTTTAAGTTTATGAAATCTTCGATAAATTCTACCTTTCTTGGGTGAAAATATAGCTTCTTGCAGGACACCCCCGTATCCACATTTTTACGAATAGCAACAACATAATGAATTAAGACTATCAGTTGTTTAAATAACAGCATAAAATTAAAATTAACAACAATACTTTTGTATAATTGCGCCATTACATTGGTTCACAGACGACAGGGTTCACGCCCACCATAATAACGGTACTACCAAAATAGAAAAATGATAGCTTATTAATTTAGAATCGATGCATGTCTAACCGGAATAATAAATTGTGAAAGCCGTTGCAGTTACTATGCGGTCACAATACCATGTAAGTCTACCCAAATTAAGTAAACAGATGTCTAAAAACTATCGATTCACACACCTCAAGGTCTAAACTTTAATTGCTATCTGCCAGGCAAACATGTGCTAGTTCCCTAGACAAATATTTATTTTACTTGACGACATTGTTTTCGTATTCAGCTCAAACTTTAGAAACCCCCAAGTCTTGAAAGTATAAGTCCTAGTCATAATAGCCAAAAATGGTGCAATTTTCCCATTCTAAGCCTGATTATTTAAAAGCCTAAAGTCTGCCATGTGTAATTTACTCTAAGGTAGAATACTGTAACCGTTGTTGGTCTGACAGTTCGTATCGAAACCATCAATGGTAAGCATGACAGCGCCATTTTTTTCCCTGTCAGGCAACGACCTCGGCTGAAACACAATCACGATACGCGAAGGTCCTAAGAAAGAACGTTTTTTTCTATTCTAAATGTTTTTGTTTAGTTCTTAGTCTTCACTGTCATCATTGTCCGTGACATTGATGTTAAATGAAGTGTCAGCTCTGGTATTTATAACAGTTAATTTTGTAAAAAGACCATTATGCTATTATGCATCTCTTTACAACCTCAAATACGCATTGCTAAGTTTGTTGTTTTGATTAATTATCGTTTTGGCTCAACGTGCAGATGTTTCTTATATATCTGTTCATGCCATTTACTATTACCGTTTTTACGGTTCGGGCTTTTATTACGACAGTCGTGATAGATATCATAAACCAAAAAATTGGTATATTGTTCCACTTCTGTTTCATCAGAACTATTGAGAGCCATATTCGATGGAACATTATATTTTATGGCTATTTATTAATACATTGGATTTCTTGATGTTGGTAGGTGCTAAGAAGCGTACTATTGCTCCTTAATCTAGGCTATCGGTTTACCGGGACTGGCCTGAATCGTAAAATTTATCGGTGCACTTTATGACTTATTGTTCCGCAAAGTTCTTTAACATTCACAGTTATATTGCCTCGCCGTTGTAAATTACAATCACAGTCACGATTAACTAAATGCTATGTAGATGTACTGTCTTCAGATGGACAGGCTATCAGATGAAGAATAAAATAATAACATAAAATTATGTAAGCATGCATAGATATTTCTGAAACATGCAATTAAATCTTTGGTCTATCATCTAACCTTATGTTTTATGTAAGCTTAAAAACTTTCACAATACTTTTATCGTATCAATTCGTTCCAATCCTTACTTGCTTTTGCTATGAACCGTTCTTTATTGATTAGCTTCTGTTAGAGTATAAATATTGAACTGGTGCTTCTACTGAGTACCATTTATGTGTTGCGATACACTATTGAATTTCTTCGATCCTCGTAAACGACTCGAGACAAATTCGAATGGGCTGAAATCCTCTACGTATACCTATTTTAAATTTTGCTACGCTTCCATCTATAGACTTGCGTAATGTTTTGTTGCTATGCAAAACATTAAGAGATATTTTGTTTTTTCTTCGAGCTAGAAGTACTAACTTCACTCAGAAAAATAGTCTTATCGATTACAAATTAGTTTTTTTATGTCCTTTTTCATAAAAGCCCCTTGATGACGTTTATATAGAGCTCATTCTATGTACAGTATCATTTATTTCCGTCACGCTACATAATGTTTCAACATATGATGTCCAGTCAAGTGCATTGTTGACCCGAACACTAGGTGAATGTCGGTCATCGTGTAATCAATTGACACATGATTCATGACATGCCATCATTAATGCAGTGCATATGGCCTTCCTCTTATTTCGCCATAGTCTTTCTAGAGTTTATTAAGACTCGTATTGGTACTGCTTCGATTGTGTTAATAGGTGTATTTGTTGTGAACGCAAAACGTGACTTTATCTTGAATCTGCGCCTATAGAAGGCGCAGATTCTTCAAGAGTCAAATAGTTATGCTATATCCGCTTTTTCTTTGTTACTTGTATTGTGTTTTGTATTTATAGTTGTGTAGCACCTACACACGGAGTATATTTAGTCAGCAATATATTTTCCATCAAGCTCCATTTAGTATAGAAACAAAGCGATTAAAATTGCATTTACATGAGTCATTCGTAAGTTGTTTTCCTATTTAGAAACCACGTTCGTATTAAATATTCAAAGGCGTAATAGGAAAATCGATAACACTTTTTTCCGCGGAACGTCTTTGAAGGAGGTTCTATGTCCGTAAACGTAGTTAGATGAAAGAGTTAAGAGAGGAGGTAGACAATTAGCAAGGTCTCTTCGCAACACACTATGAATTAAATTATTATGCAGCCAGGAAATCGTGACGAGGGCCTCTGTACTCCTCTTAGCGTGTCGCCGACCTTCAGACAGATTTGCGAGCCTTCAATGTGTTCAGCTCAACTAATAGGCTGATTGTCATAGTATTCCTAAACACAGCTATTTCCCTAGTAGTAACGCGAGACGACCTTGGTTGAAACTCTATGATGCGTTCATTAATGAATACAAGTTACAACTATAGGTACATATTGAGACAACATGTTATATTGCAAGGTCTGTTGAAATGTGTACGTTGTACGAACGAGTCTGTTCTACATTTAGGACACTGTCTAAAAGGCATGTATTTCAATAGACATATTTCCAGTAGTTCGACCACATTGAGGGCTCGTAGCAAAACATGTTTGCTTTATTAAGGTATTGTTACGTCAATTTTGTTTAACTTATGTATATGTGTAGGTGGTTTTGAGGTCGTCAATGATTTGCGTTTGGATGCCAAGTCAATATTTTTACGTTACGTCACACATGTCTATAAGATTTTTTCCATAACTCCTTGACCTCCTTCATGAGTAGTCAGTAGTCCATTATTTATTTTAAGCCCAGCATTGTACGAGAATGAAAAAGAGTGATGTGGATCAGTGCACAAGGCTTTGTTTAAAACCGTTAGCAACAGTGTTAATAGTACAACTGTAGTAATTAAGATTTATATTGAAAGGAAATTGGAAAAGCCGGTAAGTGATAGCAAAATGCTGTTTATCAGCGTGGTTTTGCGGCTTTCCAGTGATATAGCCCGAGCGCCGGGCGGTACTTTCCTATAGCAAGTCTTTCTACTTAGGCTTTAACGTGTCATTTAATTGAATCCTACACATTTGATGACGTATTTAGGGCCCTGGCAATTTAATCTAATGTCTGTATTTTATATATCATCCTTAATGGCTTGTCAATTAACAATGCACGGTGGCGGGTTGTGGTACGTTCCTATTAAGGTAAATACTTTATGCAACTAGAACTCGGTAGTAAATCAGTGCTTTAAACTGAATTCGGAACATAAATTGGTACTGATACTCTATTAAAATGGTGGTTGAATATGTTTCTGGGACTAACAAACAATATTGTATAAGATAATGTTTCTGGTGTTTTTAGGGTTGTTTTTAAACATATTGTTTCTTTTGTTTGCAGTAGACAATCCGAACTTCGACCAGGGTTACTTCGGACCATGGCGAGTGTGCAAGAAACTGCTCTACAACAGGGAGAAATGCGGCTCAGACGTCTCCAAGTTCCATCCGTCGAGTAAGTTACTTAGCATACGTTTACGGTTTTATTTACACATCTTGTTTGAAAGCTGGGGTTGTAAAACATGCAGCTCATTGATAAACAAGAAGTAGGTTTATCGAGTTCCTATTAATAGATTCATTCACGGTCATGGTTCAAAACATTCTGACTAATCTAATGGAATTGAGAGCTAATTCAGCTTTCTTACATTAGCGAAAGAGCTATTCATTGTCGTTAGCTAATCGAATTTTCTTTTATCTACTCACCTCTATAAATAGCTACACCATCTAATGTCAATGCTACAACCGTTAAATAAAATTAAATACGTAATAGGTAATAGGTAATGCTCGCTTGCCTAAACTCTCAACAAGTTTCAGAGTGCAAAGGCCTCCAGTGCCCGATTGAGAAACAAATATCTTTGAACTATCGTATTAGAAGTATTTTGCATTAAACACGCATTAGTCTTCTGTTTCGTATCGAATATTGAGTTGTATATTCCGACTGCGTTACTTACAAATGATAAAAATATAATTCAGACGCCGTTTTGTGTGTCATGTTCCAGAAACATTAATATTCTGAAAGTAGTGCACCAAATGGACTGACCTATTTTCTTTTGTAGACACGCCCTTAGTTTCCTTTGTTGTCGTTCACTACTAATTGTATTAATTTTTGTCGCTAGATGTACATTTATGTGTATAAAAATGGTAATATTTTTCCTAAGAAATTAAATTACGCTTTAATATAATTTTAGGAAAATTTTCTACGATGAACTTCGGTATATGTGATGTTAATATTATCAGAATCTAAATATTAGATGTCCTTTAATATGCTAAACAAAATGTTGTTTAAAGGTAACCTAATATTTCGCTCAAAGGGGTCCGTCGTTAAAAAGGAAACGGGGGTCGGTGGAACGGAAAATAAAGGAAAGGGCTGTGCGTTGCTATAATACCTTTGCCTTTATCGATTTTTTTCGAAAACAGGACACGCATCGGTGTCTTTGTTGCAGTCTTTTATGTATTTAGGTTACACACTTAATATTCGTGGGACTAATTTTTTAAAACCCATTTTTAGTAGATTATTTTTTTAAACGCATTACGTAGCATACTAAAAATTGTTTAAAACAACTTAAGTCGTTAAAAACCTAGTAGCAAAAAGCACTAAAAGATTTAATTAAAGCTAAGAAAGTATCTCTACCTAGGTAAAGTAGTAGACCGATATAGACTAGACACAGATTACACGTGAAAGTCTAGATAAAATAGCTCTAACGACAATTACTTCAGAGGAGACAGTTCGCGACTTAGATCGAAAATAGATATAGGATCGTTATCGTTGTTTTCTGTCCACTTAGGAAATTGGTTACATTCGTTCTTAATTGAATTGATCTTTAACCGCTCCTCAGTTTATTTTGCTAACATTTTTATTGTTTACCTGGCTAGAAGCTCGTTATTTGTGTGAGAAAGAATATTGTGATACGTGCATTGTGTGGTGTTTAGTGTTTCTGTCCTGTTATAAACTAGTTTATGACCTGAGTATGTGAATGACCGTTTGTTACTTTGTGTCTTTAAAATGTTGCATATAATTTTGATATTTTTTTTACATCACGTGGGCGGAGTGGTTTTTAAGTTTAAAATAAGTAGAGGAAAGTCGAACTTGCTCTGTTAAGGTGCCGATGTTGCGATGTTATAGGAACGTTGGTCGCGCAAGTTTAACACTTGGAAAGTGGGGTTGGGTTTGATTAGATTAGGTAATTGTTGATACTTTTTCTCTATTATGCTCGTAAATTCTAATGCGATACAAATTGAAATATGTGACGGTAACTGGCCTGTGTCTAGGTCTGCTTCCATCGAAGATATAGGCATTACAATTATATTAGTTACTTAGACATTTTAAAATTAAATTTTGCTAATATATACATATACAGTACTAGCTTTTTTACCCGCGGCTTCGCTCGCGTTACAAAAGGTTAAAAAGTAGCCTATGTGACATATACCAACACAGCGCCATCTATACCAATACTTTTGTTTTCCCTCGGGAATATCAAATTTTTCCGGGATAAAAAGTACCCTATTATTTAATCCAGACTTCTAACTTTACGTCTGCAAAAAAGTGAAAGTGGAACAAACAAACAAACAAAAATACTTACTTTCCAATTTATAATATTAGTAAGGAATAGGGAATGTAGTAAGGATGTATTCACGATAAATTAACGTCATTTTAGTAGTGCTAATACGTTTAGTATGAACCTGTAACTCAGTTGCAAAGAATAACAAAACGCGATTAGTGTGTCGTGGTCGTGACTGAACTCAATTAATTCTCATCTAATGCCCGTATTAACGTTTCCTTATAAACTGTCTTCAATACCACGTTATTTCTATTTAACATGCTCCGATTACTTCGATCGGTTTCGACTTTAGATTAAAAAGAAAATTAGTTGCTTCATTAATAATAATAATAATAAGCCCGCAGGGCACCTTGAGGCGAGGTGACGGGCATTAGCGATCCCGCGGGCTACCATCATCCCGAGTGCTCCAGGGAGAAGTCACCGTTCCTTCTTCTCCGGCTTGCCTTAATTGGCTGGCTGGAGTGAACGATGACAAGGAACAGGTCTCCCACCTCTGGCTTGCCTTCATTGGCCGTCCAGAGTGGAGTCGCGAGAGCAGTGATCCTGCTCGGAGGGTAAGAAACTATTCGTAAGTCGCGAGTGGGCCAGGGATGCAGGAGGCTTCGGCTGGAGCAGATGATCTGAGTAGAAAGCGGTGGTAGTTTCTTAACCCTTCAGCCACTCACATTCTCGTTGCCCCTCTGTTGCTATATCTAGCAGCCATTCCCGGGGCCCGGTCGGTGAGTTGGCGAGTCTCCGCCTGCCATTTTTACGTGTAATAATTACATTGTTTCGGCAGGTGCCATAGTCATCCATAGTTCCCAATTTTCCAGTCCACAGCAACCCATCCATAGCCCTATCTTTTTTTTCCATTATCCTCAATAGTTTTACACTAACCGGAGACTGTCCTTGGGTGCATTTCCATAGTGCATACAGGGATAGTCGCCGGTTTGTGTGTTCATTACATTTATATTATAGTTGTCTAAAGGGCCTCTGCGCAGTTGGCTTCGGCCCCTCGTACGCCTCCCAAATGACCGGGACCCTGTGGTCCCGTGAATGGTAAAGACATACATAATAATAATAATATTCCAACCTTACGTCCAAGCTGAACACCTAGCTTACGTGGGGGGCGGACACGCGTACTGTACCACTGTACAGTAATAAAAACTTACGCGGCTAACAAGGCAAGGGTAACCCAACATGGAGAGATGAGTAAAAGAGAATATAATTTGCGGCCGCTTCCCGGGGGTCGCCGGGGCGCATCTGGAGCCGGTGCTGGATGCCACAGCATGCGAACCATCGGTGGTGCGGAGTTGAGCAAGCGGGCCCCCACCAAAAAACAGGTTACAGCTGATCGTTATGAGTTGACCAGGCAGGCTTACAGCGAAGAAGCTACAGCCGATTCCACGGGCGATGATACCATTTCCTTATTTTCATCCATCCCTTCAACTCGCCCCTCATACATGACTAGAAGTAAGTCTACCTTGTCAACCACAAGTACACTTGACAGCGTTGTGCGAGATGTCAACTTTGACAATGAGCTTGCACCCGCCACAAGTGACACAAACAAGCGCAGGCGATGGACACCTGAAATGAATATGTTCATTCTGCGCACTTATTTACAGTTAACTTTATTAGACACAGACAAACGAACTTATCTCGAACCACTTCATTTAAAATTTATAGAACAGTTCCCAGACATGCAGGTTAGCCGACAGAGAGTAGGAGATCAACGCAGAGCAATCATAAATAACAAGCTTTTACCACAACAAACAATAGATACCATACGAAACGAAGTAGAAAGAGAGTTAAATCAACTACAACTAAATCACAATAATATACAAACAGAGAATACTATAGACCATACACATCGAGCACGCACACAAATACATCCTAGAACAACAGAAACGCATACTACACAAAACAAAACACAGTCTCGAATGAGATGGACAAACGAGCAAAACGAAGGTATAATGCGGTCTTATTATAGAGTTACGGATTTAGGCAGGAATGAAACAATGTATAGAAAACGGATGTATGATGATTTTATCAGTAATTTCCCATCACTAGCCCACCTAACTGAACAGAGAGTCGCAGATCAAAAAAGAGCAATCATTAATAATAAATATATCAGTAGCGATAAACTAAATTCATTAAAGACACAAGTAGCTGAGGAACTCTTTTTACTCAACCCCAACACACAAGACAATAGAGACATGGGCACAGAAGCTATAAGTATTTATATTCCCGACACACAACTTGCAAACAACACTAGTTACTCAAATGACGAACCTACACATAACACACAAAGTTTGGGTAGCATTGAACTTAACACAATAGAAACGTTACCTAACCCAGAAATTAATTTAGGACGAGACTCAGTCATAGATGAAGCCTTCCAACAGGCACTTAAACACTTCAAAAATACCAGTCCCATCAGTAGGAGCTATATCCCTAAACAGAAACCGTCCAAAAACCTTGCAAGACTAATTGACTACTTTAATAAATTCATTCTTTTAGAAAATATCGATAGTAATACAGACTTTGATACATTCCAAACAATTATCTATTGTGCCGCATGGACTACTGCAAAATTAAACGGTGCAAGGATATCACTCGAACCACGAGAATCAGCCCGAACTTCGAAACTAGAACATAAGCCGAAATGGCAACGACGGCTCGAACGAAAAGTTAAAGAGTTACGAAAGAAGATAGGGAGACTGACACAATTTATAAACGGTAGCAGGAGCAGAAAATTGAAAAAACATGTAAATAAAATCATAACACACTACAGAATTCACACAATACACGAAGAACGAAACACACAACTCATACACACCCTCGACACACTGAAACAAAAACTTGCCGTCGTAATAGGACGCCTCGAAAGATATAGCGCATGTACTTTAAGAAAACA